AAACGTATAAATAACGCGTACTAGTAAGAAACTAGACTAGAAGAATGCGAAGTATACTATTACGGAGGTAGTGAGATCTTATAGCTACTATCTAAATACCCCACTAGATATTTATAATATCTTCTACTTAGACCTCCTTTATATAGCCTTAATAGACTCTCTTAACTTATAGAGAATAGATAATAACTAGCCTACGCTAGTGATAGTTAGAGACGATGAAGAATACGAGGTAGAGGCGATCCTAGAAGATAGGGTTGTATGAAGAGGAAGAGGATCCTAGAAGTAATACCTAGTGAAATAGACTATATACGCTAAACTAACGTAGGAACTAGCCGACGCGCTATAAGACTCCGCTACGCTAGATATATACGAGGCTTCCTAGGTAAGTATAGAAGGAGGGGGGGGTGATATAATAGGTTAAACCTAGGAGAAGGCTTAGTTCTAGCGAACTAGCGCTAAGACTAACGCTAGGAAATACTACCTCCTAATTAGTTAAGATTTACCTATATAATATATAGGCGAAATACTATCTCCTAATTAGTTAAGACGTATACGGTATAAGAGATATAAAGTCCTAATAGCTAAGATACTATACGTAAGGGAAGGTAAGGAGTTAGAATAAGTACGTAAGGGAAGGTAAGGAGCTAGAATAAGTACGTAAGGAAAGGAGTAAGGAGGTGAGGATAATAGTTACCTCCTTACGGCGCGTTAGAGGATATAAGGAGAAAGGAAGGATAGCCATTCCTTCCTTCTCTCTCCTTAGATTTATCCTCCTTATTACTAGGTTAGCTAGCTAGTTATAGAACTCTTTCCAAACCCTCACAGTTATCTATCTACTATCTTTAAAGGATATAGAAGTCTTTTCTTTACTTTATATTCATATAGTTTTCTAACTATAGTTATACTTATATAGCTTTAGTTAGCTCCTAAGTTAATTATAATAGTAATCTAAATATTAACTAGCTTTATTATAAGAGCTACGTAATAATTATCTAATATAGTTATCTCTCTTAACTCCTAAGGCTTTCTAACCCTTAGTTTATTATTATAACTTCTCTACCTTATTAAGTCGTTACTTATAAGTTTTTTAGTTAGTATATATATTACTCTCCGTCCTATTAGTACTTAGTATTAAAACACTCTTCTAATATCTTAAATATCTTAGGGTATACTAGGACGTTCTTAATATCTAGATTAATATTATAGATATATTAATACTTTATCTTTATATCGTATTTTTCTTCACTTAAGTAGTAGAAATTATCTACTATAAAATCTCTATCTACTCTATTATTAACTATCTCTTTAATAATAAATAGTCTATATAGATCTTCTCTACCGTTATTACTATTAGTAAATATTATATTTAGTATACCTTCTTAGTAATATAGATATAATTCTCTTCTTTATTAATATTCTTATTTATCGTATATTTAGTCTATCTCTATAAGTATCAAGGATGCCTTATTAGAGATAGGCAGTACTCAGCGATAGATATATTCCGTGGTAATAAGTATCCTTTTATATCCAGTAGTGACAAAGACTCATAGTATGAGGAGAGGATGCTTCTCGGATGCGAGAAGCATGCTTTTCTCATGCGGACTGTATGCGGCCTAAAGTGGCTTAGCGCGGTCCGGCTTGGCGCGATCTTGATTGTGCCCGGCTTCCAGGTCCCGTTTATGATAATAAGGTTAACGTAGACTCCTCTAGATATTAGTATATAGAGTCGTTATAGATTAACGTTCTAGTAATATAAATAATCTCTATATTACTATTAGTAGTCTTTATCTTTATATAAGAGTCTTTTATAATAGTAGTCTAGATCTTTACGTTTATCGATTACTTTTTAATTTCTTAGAGGTCCTAATATCGATAGAATTAGTTTAAGAATAACTTCTTTCTCTCGCTATACTTCTTTAAGTTTATTTCTTTTTATAATAATCCTTTTTATAGTCTCTTCCGGAAGTCTTATCTTAACTATTACGGACTCTATTAGTTAATAGATATATATATCCTCTTAGTATTCGCACTCTTAGTTCTAATACTACTTTATATTAATTTTCTTAAGTAGTAACTATAGTAACCTAAAAGAGTTATAAACTATATATTAATACGATATATTAAGGTAATACTTAGTCTTATAGTCGTCTACCTTTTAGAAATTAGTAGCGATTTTAATATTATACTTATCACTTTCTAGTACTATATACTATTAATATATAGTATCTTCCCCTAATATAAGGTTCTCGTCCGGTTCTTAAATAATAAGATTATCGTTTATATAGCTATTATAAAGTGTATATATTAGTTAATAACCTATAAGCGAATTAATATCGTCGTATAATTCTCCGATATTAGTCTATGTCTCTCTAATATATATAACTATCTAATAGTCCTAGTATCTTTTATAGACGTAGACTAACTATACTATTCTAGTATCTTCTAGTACTATTATTATATTAAGACTTTATTTCTATAACGATATAATTAGTATCGTAAACGCTTTATTACCTTTTCCTATATATAAATATATCCCTAGAACAATATATCCCGTTTCTATAGTCTAGTAGATCTCTATTATAACTAAAATTAATTTATTAGCTAGTTATCCTAAGTTAAATATAGAGTAGAGATACTCTACTTCTAGTCTATAATTATTTTTATACTAATATTTTAGTAATCTTTAGTAAGGTATAATTATTATTATTTCCTTATTATTATATTTAATTATAATAAATATAGTAGATTCTTCTAGTTCTAGTATATATATTATCTAGAATCCTTACTTATTATTAGTATCTTTATTATTAACCTTAAATACTTCCTAGCGCTTTAACTTATTAGCTTATCTTACTACTCTTCTTTATCGTTTTAGAAACTATCTACTCCCTATCTTTTCTAAGTAGTAGATTATATATCTATTATTATAGTACGCCGTCTATAATAAGAGCTAATACTATAATTCTTTTTATTATTCCCGTTCTTCTAAGGTAGCTTCTTCCTTAGGTTTTATATCTTATTTAGATCTACCTATCCTCTTATGAGATTCCGTACTTAGGTAGTCCTTCTATACTAAATTACTCTAGCTATTAACTACTATCTAAGCTCCTTATAAAGTATTAGCCTTTATTTCTTTATAACTAGCTATATTATCGTTCATTATATATAGCGTTAGACCGTTCTTATAATCTTTTATATAGTATCTAGATTTTCTATATCTATAGTATAGATTATTCTTCTTACGTTTCTCTCGCTCCAACTATAATAATCTATAAGACCTATCACTTTTAACCTTAGATTATTCTCCTCGCGCTTTCTAGTAAGTAGAACTACTACGTTAGATTATATCTAAGTCTATTAGTTCTCTATAGTATTATTTATTCTTATAAGTTATACTCCTTATAAAAGTCCCTTTTCTTTCTATCTAGCGTTCGTATAGTTAGTTATCGGTCTCGATAGAGAGTTTAATAAGCGATTTATACTCGTTAAGATAATCTATCCCTATTCTATCTTTAACTAAATCCTTTAGCCCCTAATAGTAGGCTAAGGTAAAAGCTTTATCTTCCTAATCTAATTTCGAAGTATAGCGTTAGAATATAGCGTAATATCGCGTAGCGGATCCCGTTTATTTAAGTTAGTAGATTCTCTAGGCCGCCGACTATTCCTCTCCTAGTATCCTAAAGATCTACTTAATTCTTTCCTTAAAAATTAGGAAGTTCCTAAAGATCTCGTTTATCTCTAGGCTTCGCTACGCTAGTATAGACCTAAGGTAATCCCCTATAATAAGTTTAAACTATTTAAATACTAACCCGCGAAGCTAAAGTCCTACGAATAAAACCTTCTCTATATAGATAGAGTATTTAGTATATTATAGAGTAAACATCGCTTTTAACTATATAAGATATATACTAAGTTTACTTCTATCCCTATAGTACTATTTAACCTTAAGGTTATCTTTTATCTTTCCGGTCTCCATATTATTAATAGTTAAAGTAGTAACGCTTATAGTTAAGGTATTAGGTTATTAGGTAAGTCTTAGCTTAGGTGACTTAGGGTTAGAGCTACTAGACATTATCGTTAAGTCTACTACTATCTAAGGGGATAGTTAATGTATTACGAGCTACTATCTAATACATAAGGTATCTATAGGTAAACCTAAGGTAGTTTACTTAGTAATATAGTAGAGAGGGGCGATGTAACTAAGATAGGAAACTAAGCGTATAGTATATAGACCTATACGTATAGTAGTTAATTGTGAGGAACTCGATTCTATGTAACTATTATTAACTACGAGGAGAACTATATAACCTTATGTGGCTATATACTATTTAAGAAATATGTCTATTATGTTACTCTATTAAATATGTTAAGTATGTCAACATGTTCATGAGCCTATTTAGGCATGTTACCCTGTTGCCCCGCCTGGTCATGCTAACCCGTTGCCAAGACGTCGGCGTCCGACATGTTCTCCTCGGTTAACCTTCCTTCCTGTCTTCCTCCTTGGCCTCCCATATGGTCGGTTCGTAACACAAGGATTGTTGAGAAACACTCCCCAGAGTCCATTGAGGCGCCGGACCCGATCTTGCCACAGGCGGAATGATCCGTAACACAGCCTGGTCCATTCGCTGCCGTGCCAATGTGCCGTCGGACTCCAATACTGTGGCTTTCCGCTGCAATCCCACACTTCAACACCCACAAAGCGGGGTCGTAGCTCGTTTGATTCACCGATTGTTCTAATTGTTACCCGTGAGTCTAGGCTTCGGGAGAGTTTTTCTAGCCTTTCTTCTCTTCAACTTTTTCCAACCTCGCTCTTTCTCACCTATAACCAGCCGGTCCTGAAGCAGGCCGCCCCGTAATTCGTCGCCATTATTGACCAGCGCCGCCTTCATTCTCATTCTCTTTCACGTTCCACTTGTGGCAAGAACTAGCTCGGTATCGACCTAGGTGTAGCAATTCAGGCCAATTTAGAACCCACTGCGTTAGACGACCAATGGAAGAGGATGGTCCTCGGAAGAAACGGGTACGCGTATCCATCGCTTGCCAGGAATGTCGAAATCGGAAGATTCGAGTACGTCCGACACCTTGTGCCTGAAGATTTTGTTGCTTGTGTACTCATCTTGTAGTGTGATGAACAGCACCCCAGCTGCAGGCGATGTGAGGAAGCAGGTGCAAGTTCTAAATATGACCAACCTCTCATCGATGGAGCGGCGTAAAGGTGAGCATTTTAAAGAACACCGTTCGCTATGTCCGAATGGTGCTCACAATAACATCAGGTCGACTAGCTTCCACTTGTTGGCAAGATTGGAAGCTCTGGAAAAAAAGAGTACAGTCCGCGCCACAGGCCGTCTACGTAGGCAGCCAGGCCTCCGCAGAGGACGCAATAAGCGAGAGTGGTGTCAATCTAGAAGACTATGCTCATCGCAACTCGATTACACCGCATTCGACCGGTATACCGGAAGAACCGACGATCGAGCCAGACAGTGTTGACGGGATGGGAGCCATTGCTCTGTCCGATAGTGGAGAATACTACACACATTTCGGTCTGTCTATTCCCGGAGCGTTTCGTAAGAGGCCGGCTGACATTGAAAAGGTCCTTCCTCCAATCTCGCCTTGGTTCGTGAGCTCTCTCTAGCACTTGTTAGCTCCAGCAATAATTGGCGCCCTAGACGACCCCCCGTTCCGCATGACTTATCAAAATCTAAGCCCCCGGACGTTGAAGTGCGAAGGCGTCCCATCTTTATGGATATTCAAGCTTTCACGATGAGTCGCGCTCAAGACTCGCATCAAGGGTCCAGTATCTGCCCCCCGAACCAGAGGCAACCGCTCTGCTTCAACAGTATTTCGGGACCGTGGGGCTGTTCTCTCCTTGCATTCAAGAGGACACAATTTTGGCGACATACAAAGAATTGAGAAGGAATGATCCCCAGTATGTTCGCCGATCATGGCTCGCTTTGCTGTACATGATATTCGCCGATACTCATGGGCTGAGAAGTTATGCATCACCTCCAGACGCAGCGATGGAAGTGTCGCAAAAATGCTTTCAGAAGGCTTTGAAGTTGGCAATCCCTGAAACAATCACTTATTCGGACCTAGAAACTGGTAAGGTTCAGTATTGAAACCCTATGCTGCACAGTCTAACAATCTTTACCATAAGTCCAATTGCTTTGTCTTACAACCTGTCACCTACAAGGCTCAACGAGCTCGGCCCAGGCATGGACCTTCCACGTACTTGCAGTCAAAGCAGCTATGCAAATCGGCCTCCATCACACTGATTCATACAGCAATCTGTCGCTCCTTCAGCGTGAAACACGCAAGAGGACATGGTTTTGGTGTGTTGTGAATGATTGGTAAGTAGATCTCAGCCTTGGCACTCTGGTCCTGGCTTGTTCTAACCAGTCGATAGCTTACTCAGCGTCCACTTTGGTCGGCCCTCGATCATACAAAGTGCTCTCACCAAAATGGATCTTCCTGTAGATATCAGCAGCGTCTTTCCTGCAGGTGGCCAGAGCCCATCGGTACTGAAGTCAAGCCTAATATACTACAACTCAATTATGTGGGTGCATCCATAACGAGTAGAGACGCAACTGACAGTATTAGTCGGCTATCTGTGCTCATCTCTCCCATACTGGCTCAAATTTACGACGACAACGTGGGCTCGCACAAGAATCGGACTGTCTTTGAGACGTACATCTAGCCTTCGACTTCTCCTGGCAGCTATCCGAATGGCATCGTTCGATCCCCGTCGAGATGCGGCCTCTTGATGGCGGTGCAGACCAACGAACGAGCCCACGATCTATTCAGGTGCAGCGCTTCCAAGCAAGCCTGAGTATGCGATACTACGGAGCACAGTCCCTCCTATATCGATCAGTGCTGCTCAAGTAACTCGATCATGATCCAGCGAGCGTCGATGCTGCTGTAGATTTGGAACTGTTGAGGGACTCGTGATTCTCTCTAATGAGGAAATGTATGGACATGTGCGGTAGAAGCATCGGTCTGGCCAAGACTGTTGTGAGTGACGGTTACAGTGAAAGACTACTTTGGGGTGCTTGGTGGATGACAAACTTCCTCAGTTCGTAACCTCTCCGTCTTATTCATGAGTTTGCTTGAACATGTCTGACCAATACCTTTAGCATTCAACTCATCTCTGATGCAATTTGGCATCCTGCTTCTATCGACAAAAGCACCTTTTGCAGGCTTACTAGCATCAGAAGATATCAGCCGTATCCGTACCGGCCTCAATGATGCCGGCCAGGTGTTTTTGCGGTTGGACAACAACAATCCGATCATTTCACGCTGTCGCGAATGCTTGGAAAGCTTTATCGAGTTGTACGACTCTTTGAGCTCTCCTTCAGCCTCTAGAGGCACTCTGGGCCTGCAAGACTCGAACACCTCCAAACAGGTTTACTTGGAGAGTGGAGGCGGGTCTCAGGTGGAGGCGAGCCTAATGCTCGGTGATCCCGGAGAGGACTTCTCATGGTGTGATATGGATGTTTTTGCTGAGTCGCTGGCAGCAGGCTTCGCCAGCCAAGGTCTGGAATTCTCGAATGGGTTGTGACAGATTGACCTCATATGAGCCATGATTAATTTGAAAGGGACGCCGCGTAGTAGTACCGCTTTCTGTCGTCCCGATAGGCGTCATTTCTGTAGAAAAGACTACATCACTAACATAGGTTGGGTTCTCCAGATATCTTCTAATAGAAGTGTGAGACGAAATGCTCAAGGCAATCTGGCGTTCCGAAATTGCTAGAGTTATGACTAATGTAATGCAGGCGAAGTTAAGTAGAAGGTACAGGGGCTTGGGACTGTGGCTGGGGTTTTGGCTCGGCACTTCGTATATTAAACTCAATAGGATATAGCGCCACGGCTGCCAAGATCTACACAAAGCTGGAATGAAGATCACCCCGTTCGTACCTCCGTCGGAGCCGAACGACAGAATGCTAACGGTGTTGCAGGGCCCGTCGCCCGGCTTTTGGGAAGAACTATATTTCAGCCCCAGGCGTCCGCCAGGGTACAGCTGAGTAGCCCTAGGGACCTGCGATTCGAAGGGAATAAGGAGATTGGCTGTCTCAGCTCCTAATCTTCCGTTCCTCGTTCACTAAACCTTCGTAGTCAGTTCCAACATCGACCTTCTTGTGACGCTCTTCGCCAGATGGTACGATCGAGACAACATCATTTCAAGACTCGCAACACGTGCAGTGCCTGTAAACAGAGACGTGTCAGGGTAACCCGCGAACCTGTCCTCGACAAACAAGTATATGCTACGACCGATCGGGACCCCAAACCGCTCATTCTTGTATTTCGTTTTCGTTGAGCTATGCCAAGACGGTACGGACTGATTCGCGTCCTGGCAGCAGCACAATCTACAGGCGCCACGATACAAGCATTGCGAGAGGCGCGGCGAGCAAGGAATGTCACTTTCAGTATTTGGACAGCCCGCCATCCGCCCCCGGTACTTTGGGCCCTACCCAAAGTAAGTCATATGATGTGACACACTAGACAAATCTATCTCGACCCTTAAGTCAACATGCGGAACCTATGCAATTGTTGCTCTTCCCTTCCGGAAGGATATGTCCCGCTTCTAAAACAGAATGACGTATCTCCTTAGCGATCTTCTGTTCCTAGTCCGCGAGTTTCGGTCGCAGATCCAAAAACTGGCTCCTTCCTAGGTGGGCACAGCAGACTCTCAATTTCGAAGTGAGATTGCTAGGATCAGAGTGGCAGTCCGAGCTCGAATGGCTAACAACGACAATAACGAATCGGACGGTTGGAGTGCTAGCTGTTTGTGAGGCCATCAAATAGACACAAACGGGGATCTGCATATGAGAGCTTTTAGCTGCTATCGTCTGATCGCAGATTCAGGTTTCAAAAGTATTATGTCGTGCGCTTTTGAGTTTAGTCTACGAAGGCGAGGAGGTGGCCTTGAATCAATGTCGTGACGCAACGGTCGATCCTTTCGAACTGCACACTGAGACAGACCATGGCGTTAGGATACGTGAGGGCCAAAACGGGAGCATGGCCACCCTTGCTTTCTTGATACATATGTATATATATGCAGGTACGTAAATTATCCAACTCAGAGTATGTGGTGAGAACCGGAAAGAATCTTTCAATTCACTTCGCCTTTCAATTCTATTCTATAGACACAGCCTCATACAAAGTTATTGTATCTGACCTTCCTTCAAGCCGATTTCTCAAAGACCATGAAGTTACAACTCTTTTGTGCGCTTTTCTGCGCCACCGTTGATTCAGTCCGGGCTTGTTTCTCGGCTGTCCACCCAGCCGGAAATGAAGATATCGATGCTCTCCAATATCACGCTATGGTCCGCAGGCAAAGTGTGAGTCCACCTCGTAAGAAGATAGCAATTCTCAATGTACGCGTCTTCGACGGTCACAAGCTTCTCGATCCGCGAACCGTTATTATCAACGGAGACAAAATCGGCGACCCTGCTGACCACACCAACACCGATTCCGTCGTCGATGGCCAGGGTCGAGTCCTGATACCTGGTCTAATCGATAGCCATCTTCATATCTCCAACCTCACGTCGCTTGAGGCGCTGAGTAGCTACGGTATTACCACTGCTTTCAACATGGCCTGCTTCTCTTACCCGCAGTGCAACGCCGTCCGCAACCAGACAGGGTTGACTTCAATCTTCACCGCCGGCCTGCCCGCCATTGGTCCAGGAAGTGACCACGCCAGACAGCACAATCTCACCTCATCCCAAACAATCCACAATGCCTCGCAAGCGCAGGAATGGATGTCATGGGCCTTCAACAACGGCTCCGATTATATGAAGATCACCGCAGAAGGGAATGGGCCGGACCAGCAGACGCAAGATGCGATTGTCCAGGACGTCCATCGACTGGGCAAGAAGTCTATGACCCATGCGTCACTACTTCAATACTACCAACAAGCTATCGAGTCTAAGACCAACGGTATTCAGCACACAGTTTCGGATGCACACATGACAGACAAGATGATCTCCCAAATACTAGCCAACAACCAATACATCACTCCGACGATGATCGTCTTCAACCGGACGCTCAACAGCACGGCAGCGCTGACAGCTCTGCAAGGATATGCCAACACAAACCAATCCTTTGCCCTAGTCCAAGCAAACGTCCGCGCGATGCATGAGGCTGGCGTACCGCTAATCGCCGGTACAGACTCTATCGGCGTCAATCCTCCTTTCAACCTGCCGTTTGGCTACACGCTGCATCAAGAACTTGAAAAATTCGTCGAAGTAGGCTTTACGCCTGCGGAGGCGTTGCGGTCGGCCACATCGCTTCCTGCGATGCTCCACAACGTCACTGATCGCGGCGTCATCGCACTAGGGAAGCGAGCGGATTTGATCTTGTTGAATAGCAACCCCCTTGAGCAGATCACGAACACGAGAGATATAGCAAAGATATGGATCGGGGGGATCGAGTACACGGATGTCGCCAAAGGATGAATGAAGGATTTTGGGGAGATGGGACTACATTTATGGGGGTGGACTTATTCGGGTTAGTATGCAGACCCATCGCTGGACGTTTATCGGACTCCATGTACCGACCGCAAGAAAAAGTTGCGAGTCAGAGGAAGAGACGGATGGACGACTCGTCCCGATGTCGGGACATTCTTAAATTTCTACTCCTCTTTTTCTGACTACCTCGAATCTACCTTCGTGGTTGCTAAATTCAGAATATCTCTTATCTCGCCGTGAGTGTCAGAACAGTACTTCTCCAAAACTGATAAGGCCTCGGTGGATAGTTTATATTGGCAGTCGTCGACTCCTTTGATTTCTCAATTCTTTCAACTCTCCGAAGCATATCTGCCAGGAAAATTGACGGTATTACCAAAGCCGCGGCTGCACGCCTTTCAGAACACGTTGTCCTAACAAAATCTAATGTATTGATAGCCCTTGTGATCATATCTTGTCTGGTGAACTTTATGATGGCCAACTCGTTAGTATTCGGGTTGAGGACATTACTGGCTGAGTTTACACTTGGACCATAGGATCTAATGGCAACATAGTGGGAGACTCCACTATGATTTAGCTGCCTCTATGAAATACCGTCGCCTATAGTCAGGGATCGCCTTAATATACTACCGCCTTTCTACCACGTCTTCAGCCTTATAACGGCTGGTCAATAAGCCAAAACCGGTATCATTGTAAGTCCCACATACTGTCACCGCTTACTATAGTTGTCTACAATCGCGCTAACTTCTGATCTTTGCAGGCTGGCGGGTGCATTGCTGTCCTCTTCTCAAGCACCGTCATTCACCGATAGGGGTGTAAAGCTAGAGTAGCCGTAGCCGTAGCCATAGCCTATGTTGGCATTCCTCTCCAAGTGGTACGCCAGAATCGTACCATACTTTATGTGTCAAAACTCGAAGTTGCTCCGCTAAAATAGTGCGCATCTTATCTCGGAATGTACTACACATTCTGGTACGGTGGAAGGCTACTGGTATCAGGAGTTGAATACGGTATAGCGAAGATCGGCAGCTCCAGGACATGACAGCTGCTACTGTGAATTCAGCTTGTGCCAGCTTTGCTCTACCCTAAGACTCCACCTTTCGTACCCAAATCTACTCGCAGGCTTATGTCCAGGGACGTGAAGCAGAAGCGCCAGAAGTCTTGTCTCTAGTGTCAGCCAATCGCGATATGAACCACCTTATCATGGTGACCCAATACAGTCAGGTTTATGATACCACTACTTTCGACGAAGCTAATAAAGTAAACCAGAGCTGGGTGGATGCTTTCGGACTCGTGATAGCAGAAAAAGGATATTCCTGGTGTGCTCCTGCGCAATGAATGCCATCATCGCATGAGTGAATTGACTGAGGCACTATTGGAAGAAGAGAGGAAGGCTGACATCGTTAGGTACTGCTTGTACGCAACGTTCACTCAAGCGCGGCATCTCTGGCACAGACACGCAACTGCGGATTAACTTTTACTTGTCTATATGGTGTCTCTGCTTAGCTACACTGGCAACCTCCCTAGGAGACAGAATTGGCTGAAAGAAACTGGGTGCACGGTCTATGGCCGCTTCCTCGGTAAACCTCTATCTCGTTACCCTCTTTACCATGTGTATAGATTGAATTCATTCTTGGTTGCCATATAGAGATCACTGGCAAAGAACAATAGTGTACATCATGGGCCAGAACTATTCAGGTCTTATTGCGGCTGTGGCTTGGTTCTTTCTTTACCAAGGTCTGGAGTCCTCATGAGCCATTTACAGTGACAGTATTTGCTGATGGCTCTGCAGGCATATACTCTTGCGGTTGGACTACGCTTCTGTGTATGTATCCGCCAGAAGTGCTCAACTTTAGTCCAAGAGCAAGTAGAGTTAGCATTCATCCTTCTTTCTTCAACGGAGCTGCATAGGTTGGCAGTCTTTCATGGAATCCCACAAGCCAAAAAGGCAAAGGCATCTTCACGTTCGTATTTTAACTCGCCTTGGTTAATATTGGGTGGAAGAAATATATGATCGATGACCAATGCCACCAGGGACGGCCTGGAGGTTATTTTCATCGTCCTCGCTTGGGTCGAAACAAGCAATAAGACTCCCGAA